ATACGAATTTTTTGAAAGAATGAATAAGTAAAAAACATTTGTCTTATCTTATGATGTGGCCTTAGTTATGAATTTAGGCGTAATTTGCCGTTTTTCGTTGATATCTCCCCTAATTGACTTATATCACTGAAAGGCAGGACAGACCGGCTCGAAAAAATTCAATGGTCAGATCACTTTTTCAGCAAAAATTGCATCTTTTTCGTCCAAATTGAACCGAAAATCCTCGCCATAGCCACCACCAACCGTTTTTTCAACTCCTGTGTAAATCTCAATGTCAAAGAAAAACGTTCAACGGAGATTAGGAGTGATTTAAATCGATTTTTGGTCTCTTTCGGTTAATCCCGCAAGCCGTGGTCCCCTACTCCACTGCCAAACGCARCCAGAACCTTGGTTTGGCGAGGACATTTTAATACACACCACTGGATGGTTTGTCATCYGGTCGGGAGAAGAACTAGTTTTGTCTCATCCAGTGATGCGTATTGGAATGACATTGAGATTTACAATGATAGCGGGGGGGRAAATCTGTTGTTGATTTTCTTTTCTCAGCGTTTTGTGCTTGATACGAGTTTTCATTATTATTACTCGCGTGAATGTGAATGCATTGTTAATGTTTTTTTCTCATTCAGAAACAAAATAACCATTCCAGTCGTCATAATAAGTACAGAAAGCGCGATTCATGCAATTGTGCATCTAGTTATTCTAGTTGTTTTGTCATAGCTGGCTGAAGATTAGCTCAAGACAAAGATCAATCACATCAAAATCACRCAAAATCATGTAAACACTTGCTATTTGATGTCTAAACAGATTTTACATTGTATAGCATAAATTAAGTTTATACTTTTATTTGGAAGTCAGCAGTGAGATCCTAATAAGAATTTAGCTTTCTCATTTCTCGATAATATGATATGTTAAGAATTACAYGTAATTGAGGCTTTGATTTGTTTATTAGATACTTGTTTGTTGATTTGATAATGTTAGCATTCCCACAGTAGTGAATGGATTTTTGTCCATAATGTACTAACGTATTCTRCGTAATGTTTGATTTTGGATTTTTCTATCTATTATTAAATAATAAGACTGGAAAATAACTGTCAGGAAGTGACCCGCCTATTAGCTTGTTAGTAATTTTTGGAAACAGTTGCGAACTTTCTGGTGCCCACTCTATAAATGTTTAAATTAGAAGTGTAAGGATAATGTTCCAGTGGTCCTATTTCTGAATTCAGTTGCCAGTACAGATTTAACTTAAGCATTAAAAGATGTTTCCAAGCTGATTGACAGTGTCCTACCCTTTTTCTTTACACTTTTGAACTGAAATACATTACAGTGTTTAAACTGTGGATCAACTTACTCAAACAATACTTAGGAACAGTAAGAATGCTATAGTTTATTTATACAAATACAAATCATACAAATCAACATGAAATCAGTTGTTTGGAACAATATCACTTAAGAAAAATAACTTATAGGATGTGACGAACACTGCATATCGCAAAATAGCCTGGTCGTGGTAATTAGCTCACGTCAACTTCATTATAAACTCTTTTTGTTTTGCGGGAAAATTTGGAGTGTTTAGCAAACAGTCCCAAGTGTGATTTAGTAAAAGCTGATAGATGAAAACACTCCTTAGTCGCTCTTGATAATCAAGATGGAGAGATGAATTTTGTGCCCATGCTTTTTTTGTTCTAGAATGTTTAAGAAATTAAGGAGGCTAAACAAACATAAATTTTTCATCACCACCTACCTGTCCATACGGAAGACGATAGGTGCCCATATTGTAGGCTTTTTTTCCAGGCAGCCTTCACGAGACATTTTCCCAAATTTCTTGCCAGAATGGGCCATGAAAAAGCCGCGATTAACAGGGTTTGCTAAGTTTTTCAAAAGATATAAATATAAAACATAGTTTAGTTAGTATCCTCAAAAAATGCTTTCGAGATGCAAAAGTAGTGTTTAGGTCGCATTTATCGAAACCAAATATAGCGATTCGCACACTCTATTAATGGCCGTTTTCTCAGTAATGAGAACTTATACCCATTTACAAGTTTTTTCTTGCTACACACAGCATTGGCACCTGTTGTCCTCTGTATGGACGGTTACATGACMAATAATGATTATCAATCTGACTAAATGCTTTAAACATCCGCGATCAAACAAAAACACAGGTTGAAAGAATTACATTTTATTTATCTTTTTGATTACAACATACAGATTTGCATTCAATGGCGCTGCCCCATCTTGCACGGTCTACATGACTTTCAGATATACAAAAAACTGAATGATAGTTAACACAAATTTACAAGCCTTCATAACTTACCGTCTTCCAAARTATAGAAAAAGAGTGCATGGGAGAGAAATCTTATAGCTCTTTCAATTATCATTCCCCTGATAGAAATAAAAAACAAAATCAATAGTGAAAGCTAAAAAAAGGTTGTAAGTCGTCTTACCATCTTAATGCTGCTGGCGTTTGGATGGTTCTATGAAGAACAATCATAATTTAAGTTAAAATACTACAAMGTCAGAGCTCCACCTGTAAATCTGTGTCTTAACTGAATTATGAATCATTGCAATAAACTAGGCACTAGCTAGGCTCCACACATTGCAATCATTTTGATGTATGCTTACATTATCGAAGACAGCAACTTGCTCTTCCAGGAAGTCACATAGCTCTTCAAATAAAACGTATATCTGTAAGTCCAGAACAACAAGAAAGTATCTGAATAACTACGTGCATGATAATCAAGGAAAGTCATTGGGTGATAATTTTTTAAACACAATGCAATTCAAGTGGCTACTTACGGTTTGGTGCTCGAGGAGAGGCATCACAACCACTGAAGCCCTTGTACTGTATGCAGCGTTTTGTAACCCAAGGGTTTGACAGATCAAAAATCAGTCAAATCGATCAAACAGTGTAAACATCATTTTGATTTATTAA